CCAGAAGAAAGAAGCGCACACCTCAATCCCGTCGACCATCATCATCATCATCATCATTACAGCCCTTCACAAGTCCACTGCTGAACATAGGCCTCCCCCAAGTAATGCCACAAAGCACGGTCCTGAGCCACCTGCATCCATCGACTTCCTGCATGTCTTACCAGGTCGTCACTCCATCTAGTGGGGGGTCGCCCTACACTACGCCTACCGGTACGAGGCTGCCACTCGAGAACCTTTCTTCCCCATCGGTTATCGGTTCTTCGAGCTATATGGCCGGCCCATTGCCACTTCAGCTTACTAATCCGTTGGGCTATGTCGGTCACTCTGGTTTTACTGCGGATATCCTCATTTCTGAGTCTATCACGCAGAGAAACTCCGAGCATAGCCCTCTCCATAGCTCGCTGAGCGACCTTAAGCGTCCTCATACGGCCAGCAGTGAAGGACCACGTCTCAGATCCGTAAGTCATCACTGGCAACACGCACTGGTTGTACAATCTAGTTTTTAGAGATTGAGGTATACCTGACGAAAAGATATGCCGTAATTTCCCGAACGCTGCCCAGCCGAGTTGAATCCGTCGATTGACCTCTCGGTCGAAGTTGGACTTATCTAGTCGGACTATTTGTCCCAGGTAAACGTATTCGTCAACAACTTCGAGCATAGTGCTCCCAACAACTACCGGCATAGGTGTGACATGGACATTGAACATGATCTTTGTTTTGTCCATGTTCATCTTAAGACCTATCCGTTGGGAGGCACTATTGAGGTCATTGAGCATAGTGCTTAAGTCCTCCAGCGATTCTGCCATAAGGACTATATCTATATCGTCGGCAAATCGAAGGTGAGTGATGTACTCGCCATTGATGTCAATACCGTATCCTTTCCAGTCCAGTAGCTTGAAAACGTCTTCCAATGCAGCGGTGAAGAGTTTCGGGGATATAACGTCACCCTGTCTTACACCTCTCTGCAGTTGGATAGGTTTCGAGCTCTGGTTCTGTACTCGGATAGCCATCGTAGCCCTACTGTACAAACACTTCAGCACTTCGATATACCGACAGTCAACTTGGCACCGCTGAAGGGACTGTAGCACCGCCCAAATTTCGACGGAATCAAAGGCTTTCTCATAGTCCACATACGCCAGGCAAAGTGGCAGATTGTACTCTTCAGTCTTCTGTACAATCTGCCGCAGGGTATGTATGTGGTCTATGGTACTGAAGCCTTTTCGGAAACCGGCTTGTTCGGGAGGCTGGAAGTCGTCAAGTCTGCGTGCGAGACGATTCGTAATGACTCTCGAAAACAGCACGTAGACGCGGCTCAGAAGGGAAATCGGTCTGTAGTTCTTTAAGAGAGCGTTGTCGCCTTTCTTAAAGAACAAGACCACCGCACTTCTGCTCCACGCCTCTGGAGTAGTGCCACCATGGAGGACGGAATTGAAGAGCTTCTGAAGGACTTCAAGTACCGGTGTTCCACCCGCTTTCAGAAGCTCCGCTGTAATTCCATCCTCGCCTGGGGCCCTGCCGTTTTTAAAGTGCTGGAGAGCCATTCTAATCTCGCTTAGACTGACGTCCGGGATATCATCGGAATAGTGTCGGATAAGACTTGCTCTTGGATCGTTACTCACACTTGCGTGTGGCTCCAACGATGATGTGTACAGCTGCCCATAGAACCTCTCAATCTCACTCAAAATCTCAGGTGTCCCGGAAACGATGTTGCCACACTCAGTCTTCAGCCTTGACAGTTGGCTCTTTCTGGCAGACAGATCTCTGGCAAAGACTTTGGAGCCCTGGTTCCGCTCGATCGCTTCTTTAATACGAGAAGTATTAAAGTTGCGTAAGTCTCGCCGTATGCATTTGGAGATCTGTCTGTTCAGTTGCCTGTATGCTGTCAAATCTGTTGACGATTGCAGCCTCATCTCCCGTCTAACAGCCATGAGATTAAGAGTGTGATCGGAGAGTTTTTGTGTTCTTCTGCGGCGGGTCTTGCAGAACTTAGCTCCGACCGCATGGACAGTTTCCACGAGCTTGTCGTTCATATCGTCCACTGCATTGCAATCTTCTAGGCACTGGAAGCGGTTACGTAACTCGAGCTGAAAGGTTTCGGGATTCTGGATTAGAGCACGAGGGGGACGGAGCGTTGACTTCATTAGACGAGACCTCTCCAACTTAACGTTTAGGTTCAGTGTGCCTCTAACCATTCGGTGATCGCTGCCAGTTTTCACCCTTGCGATCACTGAGACATCACTGAACAGTTGGCGTCTGGTCGTCATAATGAAGTCAATCTCATTTTTTGTCGAACCGTCGGGGCTCGACCAGGTCCACTTCCTGTGGGGCCGCTTCTGGAAGAAAGAGTTCATCATAAAGAGTCCCTCTTTCTCCATAAAGTCGGCCGGCTGCTGGCCCCTTCGGTTCCGTTGCCCTACTCCAAATTTCCCTACCTTCAGCTCACCGCTTTCTCTTGTGCCCAGTTTTGCGTTGAAGTCTCCCATCAACACCGTGTAGTAGGTTTTGGAGGAATGTATGGCTCTGGAAATATCCTCATACATTTCCTCCACCTCCTCATCGGGATGTGCCGAGGTTGGTGCGTAAACCTGAATGACCTTCAGCGAATACCGTTTGGTGATTCTGAGTATCAGGTACGCGACCCTCGTCGACACACTCCCAATCTTTACAACGTTGTTGACGAGAGATTTGTGGACGATAAATCCGACACCTCCTTGGGACAGATGGTCGCCCTCCCGGTGATAGAACAAGTTGCCGGACTCGAGGATTGCCGTGTCCTCCCCCTCTCTTCGGACCTCGGATAATCCAATAATATGCCAGCGCAACTTGTCTACCTCTTCTTCCAGCTCCAGTATCTTCTCGTCAGTCCTCAGGGTGCGTGCGTTATATGTTGCCAGGTCGAGTCGTCGTAGGTGGCAACCGAACCTCCACCGGAGATTCTTAGCACCCCCTGCCCCGCCGTTACCATGGTCGCCACCGTAGCCAGGAATAGCGGGGCCGCCGGGGACTGGGGGCCGTCTGTTTGTGTATTTATTCATTGGGGGTATTTGCCATAGTTGCCACGCTTGGCGAGCGGGTTGGCAACCGCAGTTTTTTTATTACGTCACAGTTGTCATCAGGAAGACGCTGCTGCCCATCTCCTGCCTGTCTCCCTCTGTCGCCTCTTACGACACCCACGGGAAGATATGGGGTAGTGGATATTCTTAACCGCCACTACACGGCTCGTCTATCTCGCCCGTCGACCAGCAGAAGTGAAAATAAGCGCCTATACCTACCCCTAGAAGCAGAACACCTAAAAAAGGCCGAAGAGATATTAATAAAAATATGCCAGAGCGATAGTTTTGCATCAGACATAAGAAACCTGAAGTCGGAAGAGCCATTAGAAAATTCGAGTCGACTTAAGAAAATCGACGTTTACATTGGATACGATGGAATAATTAAATTAAGGAGCAGAACAATGAAATTCCACGACCAAAACGAAAGAATAATGTGTCCTATCATTTTAGACGGAAAAATAAAAATAACTCGTCTAATAAACTTCCACAAAGTATGCAAATATGCTAGTGGCCACGGGAAGATGAGGCACCAGGTTCATTGGGTAACCCAGAGTTGACATGCTGTATTGTCAATTGCTGACAGGCATCACATACGTAATACGTGAAAATTACATAAAAATTCTGTTACATAGTTTAGATATATGTGAAGCTAATAATAGCTTGTTAATATAGGAACTAATAATAATGCAAAAAAAATTGCACTCGACGTTTTTTTTTACTTTTCCTTGTGGTTACAAAAATGTACAAAGCTGATTTAATTTCAGATGTGATGAGTGTTAAATTAGAATCGGAATCAAATACAGACAATGAGATCGAAAGTAATGAAACGTTGGAGGACTACACCAAGAAGAACCACATTGGTAAGGAAATGAATTGACTTAGAGTTTTTTTTTTAAATCTAACCCTCTCGGCAATGAAAGGGCCTTTGCCCAGTCTTTTTCTGCCTACGAGTCCATATGGGTAAGAAACAGTGCATGCTTTGTTGTGTTCTAATAGATTTTTTTTTAAATAATAAAGATATACCCACACTAGGATTTTCTCCTGTATCGTGAAGGCAGTTTACAAACACAAATTGCACAAGTGCAAACATCCAGACCCCGAACAATTATCTGTATGCCATACAAATACTTGTTCCGTGCGGGATACGAACCCGCGGCCCCCAGCGCAGCCACTCATTGCTAAGCCACTGCACCACGGAGCCGTCTATATGTCTATATATAATAGAAAAGAATAATTTTATTCAATTTCAATACCAGTGATCTGTTCCGGCTTCGCACGAATGATTTTTGGATCCCGTCAACAGGGCCACCTACCGCGGGTCCAAATGTGAATCTCAACTATTCTAAGGACCCATTTAAACACATACAAAACAGAAATTCATCAAAATCGTTCGAGCCGTTTTTGAGTTTTAATGAGACCAAGAGACAACAATCGATTTTTATTTATAGAAAAAGATTACAAGAACATTTATTGAAAATCATTTAAGCTTTAACCACTGATTCGGTACAAAACCCAGAAAAGCAATATACAGCATAATAACATTTTGTCACGTGGTAGAGCCATGCTGCAATTATATTAGTAGTATAGTTGTAGCACGAATGGGTCAGCTCGACTGAGCAATGATCACGCTCTCACAGAATACCAGCATAAAATAGTAGCTTAGTGCTGCTGTGTATCGTATGGTGTGTGTGGAAAACCGCAGACTAATTTTACTGGAAATGAGGCATTAAATTTTAGTCCTCAGGGGTGACAACGTATCTGCATTTCGATTCTTAATCGAGGGTAGATGTAGATGTTTATGGGCCTTGGCTTCCACTTGCTATCAGGTGAACTGTGTGCTCTTTATCACCCTTACTCTTAAAACACAATAATAATACATTAATCAAAAGCTAATTTTCATACTTATTTATCTTATAAAGTTTGTAAAAAAAAAGTAAAGTTACAGCCTATATACGTCCCACTGCTGGGCTCAGGCCTCCCCTCATTTCTGAGAGGGTTTAGGGCAAGGAAGTGTCCGCCGCGCTGCCCAAATGCGTGTTGACGAACTTCACATGTCTTCGAAATATTTTTTTCTTATTCCTCAGACATGCAGGTTTCCTCACGATGTTTTCCTTCACCGCCGAGCACGTGGTAAATCAGCACTTAAAATAGCAATTAACAATTTCATTGGTGCCGGGGGGGTCGAACCCGGGTTACTCGCGTTCTGTTATATTTACAGCGAGCGTTAACCACTGAGCTACCACGGCTCTAGTTTGTAACTAAACTTTATAAGAAGATAAATAAGTGAGTGGTAATGCCAAATCAAGTCTTCGAATCAACATATACTGTTGCACAGTGTTGCACGAACTAATTTGTTTCTTTTTTATTTTCAGTAACCCTTGAGAATATAAAATTGTATGTGAACAAAAACTTAAATAACAAACTGAATGGAGGAGCAAATGTATGTGACAAACGAAAATTAACTACAGAAGTAAATACAAAAAAGAAGAGGACAAAACTAGCTGACGAGGGCACAAGTAAGTTATACTTTCTATATTCTTTCATACATTTTTTTTGTGTAACTAAAATGTCAAAGTGAACAAAAAAGTCAACTAAAATGTCTGCAAGTCACCGACACCAGCAACCGATTTCAAACAAAGCTGCAGGTGCGTTTTAGGCTCAGAGGACTAAGATGGAATGCCCCACAGTGTGTCCCGACACAGCAGTGGCGGGCACTGCTACGAGGGTGACACTCAAATTTAATTCAAATTTATTTATTGCTAGAATGTAGTACATAATAATATGATGTTATTAGTTATTAACGAGACCTTATATTCTACCATGATAATGGCGTGCAATATTTTACAGTAAACAAAAAAATTATTAATACAATTTAGTGAAGTAACTTATTGAAGAAAATGAATTATGCAGGTACCTATTCAAAAATATTTTAGCGTCAAGTTGTTAGATTACAATAAATATTACATGTCAATTTTTTTAACTAAAATGTAGGTAAATGTTTATATATAAATGTCAAATATCTAAAAAGTCAAAAAATTGATTAAAAAAATTAATAAATGTTTATGTCAAAAATTCTGTCAAAAAGATCAGTTTTTTTTTCATGTTTCATCATTATTAAAATAGGAGATGATTTTTATTTTCGGATGAATACATAGTACAATACGTTACTATATTGTCATAAATTGTATCAAACTATTACCAAAATTTACATAAATTGCAATTTACTTATTAAGAAATATATTATGTTCCGGCTTCATTTTTTTTTATCCATAGCTAATGGCGTAATGGAAGAAAAATGTCAGATAATTCTTAGAAACTAACACTGAAAGTTCTTAGAAAATCAAAAACTGAACAAACTAGCAAGTTATTAGTTTTAATATATCGTTTCAAAATAGGGTCCATTCACATCAATACATCGCTGCATCCGATGGAACCACTGAGAAAAGCACTTTGCCCACTCGTCCTTAGGGTTCTCTTCGACGGCATTATGAAACGCAGCCACTGCTTCCTCCGCGTTAAAAAACGTTTTCCTCTAAGTTTGTATTAAAACTCCTTTACGCACGCTTGACTTGGGGAGTAAGCTGGCGAATGCGTGACGAAAGCGTTACGAAAAGTGTGATCGGGCGAGGTGAACGGGAGTTGAGTGGCTGATATAAGCAAGAGAGAGCAGTGTGCGCGCACATTTTCTTTCTCTCCTCTCAAAGTCCGTTATCTAAGTTCCGTATATCTAAGCACAGTGCAGGCCTATTGTCTGTATCACAGTGTAGGAGCAAGAGAGCAGTGCGCGCACACATTTTCTTCCTCTCTTCCTCTCATAGCCAGTAAATGAAATATGTATATATCTCAGTCAGTAGTTCGTTTGCGACTTTACTAGCGTTACGCGAACGGTGATTCTTTAGTTATTTTTCGTAATTTTATTTCGTTTTGAACAATTTTATGAATTAATATTTTGTTCAATACATTAAATATTCTACGTTTAAAGTGAATAAAATTGTAAATTCATTTTAAAGTTCATGTTTTGTGAATTTTCGGGTGAATAATAACAAATTATGAAAGGAATTGACACAGACTCAGATTATGAAAGCGGTGCTCCAGGACTACCATTTAAGAAGAAACGTACGGAAATTGTGCATAAAAAGTGTGTGACAACATATTTAGGGCAAGATTTTAAACCTACTGAGACCCAATCAACTGATAATGAATTACGAAGGTGAGTGCGTATCTCGTACTAGTTGCTAGCGTCGTAGTGTCATATGTAGCCTTCCTTTATCCTTGTTTATTTTCTCCCTCTACTAATACGCGGCATTCTACTCTCGACATTGGGGCGCGTTTGATTCTCTATCCTTTTCTTCTCTTTCTCTCTTTCTCTCTCCTTTTCTTCTCTCTCTCTCTCCTTTTCCTTGTTATTCTTCCGTATTTTGGCATCGCGTTTCTACAATTTACCTCAGCAAATTTGTAAAATAGAATAACATAATTTAACTAATACGTAAATAATGAAATACTTATTAATTGTAGAGGTTTACCATTACAAATAATTGGTGAACTCGTGATTGAACATGACAATAATCAAATGGAAGTTGATGATGTAAATCCCACAATAGATCATGTACATAAACCGAGACAAATTATTGGAGATAGGTAAATTAATTTCTATTTTATTTTTATAATCGTTCATGACTCTGATAATAATTTACTAAATTTACCAAACTAAAATTATGAAATTATAGGTTTAATAAAAGGCCAAAAACTTCTGCGGAACGTGTTCGAGAATTCAGAGCACGAAAAGCAATGCTTAAGCAACAAAGTAAGCAACAACAGGAACCAGTTGCAATAGTTGAAACTGCTGCAGAAGATATTCGAAGTGCTGGTCCATCAGAAGACAATCAAGACCCTGGACCCTCTGAAATCACGACTTTTTTTTTTTTTTTTAAAAAAAAATTTTTATTTTAAAAAATTAAATAAAAAAAGATATAGGAATATTAATAGGTCTTGTAATAAAAAGGGAGTGGGGGGGGTATTTAGGGGTTAGAAGTCCGTTTTTTTACTAAAAAAAAAAAAAAAAAAATAATAGGTAATAGTTTTTTATTTTTTTTTAAAGAATAAAAAAGGCGTTAGTGAAACATCAAAAAAACAGGCGAAAACTGCAGCTCAACGCATGCGAGAATACCGACAGAGACAAAAATTGTAAATATTAATTTATTTATAAAACTTATGCCTTTGAAATCTCGTGCAACTCTTATTTGGATTTTTTTTTTACTTAGAGCAAAGAAAATACCGTTGGAGCCGCAAAGTGATCAAGATTTAGATGCTATAGTCAGCACATCATCGTCGCAAGTAAATCAAAGGGCTGGTCCATCAACAATAAACAGCATATACGCAGAGCTAACTAGAAGAGGGATTTCACAATCATAGCAACAAATTAAAAAATCAGAACGTGCGCGAGAATATCGTGATAGAAGAAATGATAATATCAACATCGAATCGTAATTATTATTGAAATTATATATGTTGTGTTGTTGCTAAAAAAAAATTAGGCTCATACATTATGTTTCAATACATATAATGATTTCTTAATTTACGCGAACACTACACATTGAAATAATACTAGTTTTTACGGAATTTATCGCGTATATTTAACTTTTTAATACCCGACGTTTCGAGAGCTTTACAACACCCATGGTCACGGGAAGGACTGAGATGTTCAACGTCCATATGTCATAGTTAACCGCGGTTACCATAGATTAAAATTTAACTTTTGTTCCGATCTATACAGTATGAACTTATGGTATCTTGAAGTCTTGCAGTTGTATGATTGGGTTGGGATTTAATTTTATTTATTATAGGATCCCAAGCAGATGGTAGCACCCAGCCATCTTCTCTATTGAAATTAGGATGTTTTTTGATTTCTATAGCCTCGCGAATCATCCTTGGAAGGAATCGGTGTTCTTTAGCGTGGATTTGTGGTTTATCAAATCTGATGTAGTGACGGGGGCGATCCTGTACGTGTTCACAGACTGCAGACTTCCCGGAGCGTCGATTCTTCACATCAGCTATATGTTCTTTAACGCGGGTTTTAATTGATCTTTTAGTTTGTTCTATGTAGGAGAGATCACATTCACAATCAAGCTTGTACACTCCTGCATCTTGCAGAGGGACATTACACTTGACTGATGGTAAAAACTGAGCAATCTTCTTCGGCGGCTTGAAGTATGTTTTGATGGAAGCGCGCTTCAAGATGTAGCCAATCTTGTCAGTGACTCCTCTAACATATGGCAGTACAGCAGGTACACGTTCGACTGTTGCCGGCTTTCACTCGTTCTCTGTGACGTAGGCGCGGGACCCGAAGCTTGTTGTCATGCAAAACTTGCTTGACGTGTTGGAGCTCGGCAGCCAGGTGTTTACTGTCACAGATCCCTCGTGCTCTCTAAAACAAAGATTTACCCACGGTAGCTAACTGTGAAGGATGGTGGTGAGAATCACCGTTTAAATATCTATCTGTATGGGTCTTTTTTACCATTTGCTTGGGATCCTATAATAAATAAAATTAAATGCCAACCCAAGCATACAACTGCAAGACTTCATGATACCATAAGTTCATACTATATAGATCGGAACAAAAGTTAAATTTTAATCTATGGTAACCGCGGTTAACTATGATATCTGGACGTTGAACATCTCAGTTCAGTCCTTCCCATGGGTGCTGTAAAGCTCTCGAGTGGGTTAAAAAGTTAATTATACGCGTACGTGTTTTATTTTTCTCTGTTCATAGTAATAATCCATCGGGAAATAATGAACAACAATCAGACCTCACTTTGATTTTGAAGTATGACGACATTAAAAAACATAAAAAGGCTTATGAAAATTCCGGAAAAATCCATTTGGTTATTCATGTACAGTCTGCGATAGATTATGGTTTAAAAATGACTTAAAAAAAGTATCTGACAAACATGAAGATCTATTGAAGAAAATAACGGTAAGAAATAATATTATTTTGAAGTAATATCGAAGTATGCACGTACTTTATGTTTGAAGAAATTACCAAATATAAATTTTGTACTTTCCAGAATATCAACAACATTAGCGATGCAATGATTTGTTCAACTTGCAAAGTTGCTCTTGACAAACAAAATATTCCAATATTGTAATGGTTTAAATATCCAGAAATTCTTGCACATTCATCGAAACTTGACTTAGTTTCGGAAAGATTAGTTTCCCCTCGTCTCCCATTTATGCAGATACGAAGACTATGGCATGTGCATGGGCAATATGGTATATACGGTCAGATTATCAATGTGCCAGTATCCGTGGATACAATGGTGAATCAATTTCCAAGAGATATAAACGATGATCATTGCATCTACATTAATATCAAAAGAAACGAATCCGCAAGTCAAGCTATTTACAAGGATTAATAAGAAAAGTATTAAGATATGGTTACAGTATTTGGTAAACACGCCCCTTTATGATTACTACAATATCACAATTACTCACGGATTCCTCAGTGATGATGATGAAGAAACTCAACAAATAGGTAACATAGATGAAGTCACTGAAGATATTCCCATCGAGGAGAGTATTACAGCTCAGCAACATATTTTTCTGTGGAATGACGAAAAATATTTAAGAACACACCTGGGGAAAACAATATTCCTCGTAGTTTATTATTTGATGAACACGCGGAAGTCATTTCCAACTATTTATTTGGGACAATTTAGAACATTTAAAGAAGACATTAGAGCTACATCATTCATGATGGCTTCCAGTGAATTGCGTCGTACTGACCGTCGAGCAATTACTCCGTATCATTTGGTGTATACTGCTGTGAAGATTATGAGACTGCGGATTCGAGACTCTTTGACTGTGGCATTTAAGCATATTGGTCCTAATACCAACATAACAAGAGATCAAATCCAATCAGACGAGTACATCAGCAATTGTATTGAATCGAATCTTGTTTTCCTATGTTCAATACCAAATTCAAGTTAGTATTGGGCACAAAGAAAAAAAGATCTTTTCGCGATGATTCGACAGAAAGGCAGACCAACAGCTTTCATTACACTTAGCGTCAATGAAATAGGATGGACGGATCTGATACAGCTGTTGTATAAATTGGCGAACAATGGAACGGACATTTCAGAGCTTGTTGCGTCGGAACTAAATTACATTGAAAAAAGCACACTTGTCAACGAAGATGCTCTGACTTGCGCCATCTACTTCAATAAATTGGTTAATGTATTGCTAACAATATTACAATCCAAATAATTTAGTCCTTTCGGTCGCTACAGAGTTGCTGAATACTTTAAACGTATTGAATTCCAGCATCGCGGAAGTCCACATACGCATATTTTACTGTGGCTTGAAAATGCTTTAAATAATATGATTGATGAAAATAACAGTGAAGTAATACAATTAATAGACAGTTTACTATCAGTTTCAACATCTCAAGCATCAGGAAATATCAAATTACAAACTCATAAACACACATTTACATGCTATAAGAAGATTGTTGCTAATAAAGCACAAAAAAAAAAACAGATTTGAAGCACCAAGGCAAGGCTGCAGTTGCTATAGACGGTTCGACCGTACACACTGCGTTGAAAATATCGCTATCAAAACTTCTTCCATTATCAACTGAGACGGAAAATCAATATCGTACACTGTTCAGATACCTAAAAGTCTTGATAATAGATGAAGTGAGCATGATTGGTGCAGAACTATTAACTCAAATTGATGCTAGACTAAAACAAATAACAGGGAATTTTGAAACGAATTTTGGTGGATTAGACATGATTTTCATTGGTGATTTACGGCAACTGCCGCCTGTAAAAACAGCCAATATGGCAGGACCAGTACTATGGCGAGGATTAAAATTTTACCGATTGACAGAAGTCATGCGACAAAGTAATGCAATATTTTCATCATTATTCACGAAAATCGGTAATGACATGATATTAACAGATGACGAATTAGCAATTATTGAATCGTGATTTCTATCGTGAGACAAAGGAGCAGGTTGATCAATTATGCCCGCGTGGAATTCGTCTCTTTCTTACTAATAATTCCGTCAATGAATACAATAATACGATATAGCTACATGCAGATAATAAAATAGCATCAATAGCAACAGATTTATTTTGTGGATGTCAAAGTACTGAACAGGAAGCTTTTCTCAAACAGGAATTACACAAAATGTCGGTTATCGATACTGATGGTTTACCGTAGGAAATTGCTTTCGAAATGTATAAATAGTACATTATCACCACAAACATTGATGTATCAGATGGACTGGCAAATGGTGCAGTTCGTAAATTAGTACATATTGAACAAAACGAACAAAATGAAGTTAAACGAGTAAGGTTCTCAAAAGTTAGAATTAACGAAAAGTTGGTGAAAAAATTTCGACTTAAAGCTTCCGGTTACGTTGCGACTAATGGTGGTTTATATAACGCATAGCACCATATTATAGCGCGCTATCTTTCCATAGCGCATAGCGCGTGCTATGCAAGTAGTCGCCATGGCGCTATGGCGCTTGGGCGCTATTAATAATTATATCTAGCGGCAATTAGTTCTAGCAGCAGCGCTCTTGGGAGTGAACGTGCGACGCAAATTTGCTTTAGCAGCACGCTATTCATCGCGCGCGACCTAACGATGTTATTTAGTTACTGTATACAGTATATTTATAGGTGAACAAAGGACGTGGTTCTCTGCTACAAAAACAGCCTAATATTTTTATATGTAATATAGATACAAGAGTGTATATAATAGTGTATATTATAAATAGTTGATATTTGTATATACAATTAATAAATACGCTTTTATTGATTTATAATTTATTAAGGTTAAAATAACGTTAACATCGATTATAGGTAGTCGTAAGCCTGAAAAGTATGAATGAATGTTCATTGGTTTTTCTTTACTACTTTATTTTATTTTAGTCTAAAATGTGACTTATTAAAAAATAATGTTTTATATAGCAGTCTATCCAACGAACGACATATAATGTAACGTACTTTCGGCAACGTATTTAATAGCGCGCTAGAAATTTATAGTTTATAGTCTGTAGCGTGCTATTGATTTATAGTCGTTTTGAACAACGTTAGTTGCGACACATAACATTGATAAACATGCCGTCATAATAGAACGCAGAATACTACCATTGCCATGAATAATAACAAAACAATAAACGCAAAACTAAATAATTTTCCTTTAGTATCAGGATGTGTCATGACAATTCATAAATCTAAAGGTGGAACATTCAATGAAGTCGTTTATGAATGCCAGTATTGAAGGACTCTACATAGTGCCAAAAGATAATGCGACGAAAAAATGATACATCGATCATATCTTTACAAGATGAATTTCGCCGATTATATTATTAAACACGATGTAAACATTAGGAAGAACGATTCTTGATTTCATGAATGAAAAAGTTGTCCATGGTTACTTTCAATTGTCAAAGTTTCAGAAAACACGTGTCGGACTTGAACGATCCCGTAATTGATTCAAGCAATCTTTTGTTTTTATCAGAAACCTGGTCAAATGACGATGAAAGTGTTGACATCCCGAATTTTAATTGTATTGCGAATTTTAAGCGTAAAAATGTTTGGAAGGAGTGGCAATTTATCAGAGATTAAATGATACCTCGAATATAGTAACTTCAAACATGGACATTTTATTACGATATAATCGTGAAATTAACATTGTTTAATCATCAATTGGTGATATATGTGCTGCTCACTGTGTTTTGGACGATGGATAATGGTAGTTTTTTACATTTCGCCCAATAACACAGTGAATATGTTTTTTTTTTAAAAGGGTATTTTGTTAAGTGTAATAGTAGAGGATTTCGTGGTCGGTCCCCTCTTGAGTCCGACTTTTTTTCCTTTTTTTTTTCAAGTTCACTTCTTTTGTGAGATAATCTATTATTTCGAGCCCTTTTTTAAGTATTTTTTAAAAATACGAAAATTTTAATTAATCTAATTGCACTCATGATTTTTTATTCAAATAACCAGTTCAGTTTTTTCTATTATGTCAATAAGATCAAAAACTATTATTCATGTAATTTGTATATAAATGTAACTTAAAAAAACCGAGCAAAGCTCGGTCATCCGGGTACTATATATATATATACGAGTATATATATATATATATATATATATATATATATATATATATATTATGATTTACGGTTGAGTAGGCTCTGAAGAATTAGGAGAAAACGATCATACGTTGCCACTAATTTTAGCAGGAGATTTCAATGATAATTTCGCGTCCGAAGATGGACAGCTCTTGGTAAACTTTCTACGAGATAAATTAGAACTACAAATGAATAATAAGCGAAATGAGCCTACCACGAGATATGGAACAACAACCGATTCAGGTTTTTCTAGATATCTGTCTAATTTTAATTCTCATACGATAAACCGATTGTCTCGGTTTTACAATCAACCACAATAATTACTTATGTATCCAATAATGGAAATGATGATTCAAAATAAAAGATATCTATTCAAAAATATTAGTTTATCAATGAAAACCGATAATAAATTTAAATATTTGTAGAAAATTAGTATATGTATATACATGTATATATTATACATGTTTGCATATATAAACATATATAAATACAGATGGAGCTAAAGAAGTTTTACTTCATTCATCGTTCGGCTAGTAAAGAGAGTGGTTGTGTACAACTTTTGCCCCGCGCTATTACACATAATCTTTTTACTAATATCAGTTTAATTAGTAGTGTAACACAGTTGTTTTTTGCGTGCAAATAAGTGGCATCTAATTATTAATACTCCACAAATCAGTGTTTCTTACCTTCTCTCGCGCCGCTGCTCCTGGTCGCATCTGAGGGGTACCTCACCCCCGCGAGATAACAACAGTTGCTATTTTTCGTCTTTGTCTTCTGCAATCTGAGAAACTAATATTGGTCGTGTCTGCGTTGTTTGTTATATACAATGGCACTCCAGCGCACGCCGCCTAACATATTCTCATCGAATCCTGACATATCGGTGTCGGTAGACAAAGAATCTTTGGTAAATATACGCAAACGTAAGCAACCGGAATGCGAAATTGGAAAAGATGTGTTCACGTGTTTCGAGCGTAGGTTCGAGCAACAGACGAAATTATGGAATGATAAAATTTTTGACAGTATTTCAGAAGCTATTAACTCGGCATTTACCAATCAGCTATCAAATATTACCTCAAACTTATTTCAGATTAATAGTTGTTTAAAACAATTGACAGACGATAACGACATAATGAAGAAATCGCTATCTGAAACAAATATACGTCTCACAGAAATGGAGAGGTCTTTTAGCTGTTCCTCTCAGAGACAGGACTTATTTGATAGCCGGTTACAAGCACTAGAAGTTTGTAGTTCTCAAAACACTGAATTATCCACTCAGATACAAAATCTTGAATTAAAAATTCAATACATGGAACAACAGGCCAGACGGAATAATCTTGAGATATCTGGCATCCCTGAAAAGTCAAATGAAGACCTGTCCCTTTATTTAAGCAATATTACTAATTTTCTGGGAGTTGAGCTGTCTTCTACTGACGTTATCCATATTACTAGAACTCGCCCATTTAGTGCGGTTTCTGGACGTCCAAAAGCTATTGTCGTAAAGCTGAGTTCTCAATTATTACGGGACACCATTCTGTCTGCTGTTCGTACCAAGAAAGGACTGAGGTTGAGTGATATAGGTTTTCCTGGTGAAATGAAGAAGATTTACTTAAATGAACATCTCACACCAGCCAACAAGTTATTATATAAAAGTACAAGGGAAAAAGCAAAAGTCGCTCAATACAAATTTGTATGGATACGTGATGGCAAGATTTTTGTTAGGAAGAATGATATTAGTCCGTCCTTGTGTATAAAAAACTCTGTAGATCTTCAAAAAGTAATTTGACTATTTTATAGTTTATTCTTCATAAAACTTGCTCATCTAATGTGACTTCGTAGTTATTATATAATTTATCAATACTTGTTATTACTTATAATGTTATGTACCACATCCTACGGTAAGGAATATTTTATTATTGTTATAATATTTTTATTATCATCTTATTCCATTTGTTTTTATCTAAATTCGCATATTATATTTTTTTATTGTTGTTATTTATATATATATATAATAATACTCTATTCTACCTATTTCCCACTAACTTTTAAATATTATTTTATAAATCGTTACTATTTCATACCAGTATTAAACTTGGAACATACTCCTACAATTAACTTTGAGAATATAAACATTTTTACTTATTTTTACTTAACCGTTAATTATTTTTCATACGTCCTTAATACTTATAAAATCAAATTAAGTTTAGGTTTTTTAAGACAAATAAAATACCAATTAATTACTCTTGTTAATTATTATTTGACATTGGGGGCCCGAGTGTATGGGAAGTTAATGAAAAAACTTTATAAGTTCAAATTTATTCCTTAACTATGAATATTACTAAGTTAAATATTTTTTTACCAAAACGTTCGTGGCCTCCGTACGAAATGCTTAGATTTGTATAATAATATTTTATCGTGTGATTATAATTTAATACTTTTGTCTGAAACTTGGCTGCAGAGTGATATTCTTGATAGCGAAGTTTGTGATGGTAGGTTCGATATTTTTCGCTGTGACCGTGACTTAGCAACAACGGAAAAAAGGACGGGTGGAGGGGTAATGATCTGTACTCGAAGAGAACTATGCGCTACGCGTCGTAATGATTGGGATTGTAAAGGATTTGAATCATTATGTGTGAGTCTATCGGCACGTTTTCTCAATTCAAATTGTAACTTGAATATTATTTTAGTTTATATACCACCAAATGATAACATATTAACCGATTGTATTTATGAATTCCGAAATAACTTTGAACGCTTTTACCTACTGGCACTTCTGACCATTATCTTATAGTTGGCGATTTTAACGTACCTTGTTTAAAATGGAGCTCCTCAGGATGGTCGACAATACATTCT